TTTGCGAAGTTTTGATACGGATTCTTGGATTCTCTCTCGAAGAATTCTGGGTTTGTGTTGGTGAATCAGTGAGGAGAATGACGCGCCTCTGTTTATATCTCCAGGTACGGGATACGAAGAGTCTGTGCTTTAATTTCTCTTAAGTACCCACTAAGTAACCATTAAACACATGTCTTGTGATTAAACCGCCCATTATCCGTCCAACTTCCGCAAATCATTAACCGTTGTTATCTCATTAATTACGGTTTAAATTCAAATTTTTGGATCAATTAAATCATTTACTTCCCTCCTTTTCTGAGTTAAATCAAACCCGACCCGTCATTCTTCCGAATCGGGTCTGGGGGGCAAGTTGTTTGGGTCCAATTTAGTCAAAATTGGGCCTGAGCACTAAATGATCCAATTAAAAGCCCAAGGTCAAGGTTCAACTCTCCAATTGCTCAAAAGTCAAAAGTCAGCCCACAAAGTAAGCCAATTGGGCTAAAGCCCAACCTCTCCAAATATGATGAGGTATAAAAGCCCTCATATTAACACATTCAAGGAGAGAGTCATATTCTTACATAAGACATCTCATAACATCATATACACTATCAGACACAACAACACATGCATCATCACATACATTATCTCATACACGGATTATTCCAACTCATATGCTCATTCTTGCATTGAGAAATACTCCACAAAAGCCTCAAGCTACAAACTCTCTTGCATAGTGTCTTCCTTTTTACACATTGTACTGACTTTAGCATCGGAGGGGCCTTCCTCGGAAACACCCCCGAGGCTAGTTTACGTGTGTTCACTGTGCAGGAAACCTTCGGCCCAACACAGCTTGGATCGAATCCAGTCTTCTCCATTTTAGTGGACCTTCGGCAAGGTCCCATTGTTTTCAACCGAAACAGATATTAATCATTATTGTTGTTACAATAACATTTTATCCTTAATATTTTTTATTTATTTTCCTTATATACCATAAAGCTAAGTTGTCTTCAAAATTAAACTTTAAAAACATAAAGCTAAGTTTGTGTACATAATCTATAAAATGACATTTTGTAGGATTGGGGAAATCCAAAGGGTGGTTGACATGATCCACTTCCCGGCCGTTGTCTTTGTCCTCAGATTTGTAGGACATGGGAAAACAATGGTAAAAGATATATTCTCAATTTTTCATGACTTATATTTTCACATGATTAGCTCTGATTTTCAAACTTGCTTGTCCTTATTGTTGTACACCAAATCATAATCAAGAAATACTAAATGAATTGTCCTTAGATTAATAGCTCTGATTTACATTAATGTCAAAAAATAATAGATATAGTCAATTTTGACACACCTATCGATGTGCTTTTTGACCGTAGATAAATATAATTAAATATTATTAAAATTATAAAAAAGGGGTGTTAAATACCGCCATAAAAATGATCAAAACCGGCAATATTTAGTATGAATAGACAACCATGCCCTTAGTACTTCACCACTATCTTCCCCTCTTGCCACCAATCACCAACACCTTGACATCACCATCTTGATCGACGATGACTACCACCACCCTGACCGGCGACGACCACCACCACCACCCTGACCGGGGACCGACCACATCCCCCTCAAACGACCCATCACCTTCCCTCGCCGGCGGAAAGGTGGTGGTTTTTTTAATTTTCGGCGGCAACCACACCAATCGGAGGCCAAAACCGGTTACCGTGGAGGCCAAAACCGGTTACTAAGCCTGGTAATTGGTTTTGGGCTGCGGTTACCATAATCGGTAACCGGTTTTGGCCTCCGGTTACCGCAATTGCCGGAAATTTTAAAAAAAAACCTCCACCTTCTTGTCGACGAGGGAAGATATATGGTGGGTCGTTATTGAGGGGGATGTGGTGGGTCGCCGGTCAGGGTGGTGGTGGTCGTCGCCGGGAAGGATAAAGGGTAGTGAGTCGCCGGGAAGGATAAGGGCTAGTGGATTAGTAAGGGCATGGTTGTCACTTCACACCAAATGTTGGCGGTGGTGATCATTTTTTATGGCGGTGTTTAGCAATCCACTAAAAGAATTGTCTAAGCTTTTCTCTACTTAGCTTTGTATTTCTACAAGTACTAGGAAAACTGCTAGCTAGTTATTCCCCACTGATTATGAAACCTAAATGTTATTTGCAGGTGAAGAGTAGTTTCATTCGAATCTGGGCTGGGAGCAGAGTGTATAGTTTATTACCCTCTCTTTTGGAATAATCGAATTTGAGGTTGTTCTGCCTCGTTGAAAGTTTTCTATGTTTATTTGGGATTTCATTCACTTTACTATTTTTATTTCAATTATTTATTTATTTCCTTTATTTTTTTTAGTAAGCTTTAGAGTGACATTACCATCTCGACGTTATTTTGCTAACGTCTCACCTTCTATTTTAGATGGGGTGTTACAATCTCCTTTGAATTGTGGGAATGAAAAGTGAAAAATTGTTTGTAGTAGACATTGGAAACTCTCACAATTATTTTAACCTCACAAGCCTTAAGGATCTTATGTCTCTTGATACCAATTTGTTGGAATAACAAGCAAAAGATATCAAAAATAAAAGTTGATAATAATAATACTACTTCTCATTGAAATAAAGCAAACAATAATATGTTGCTATTATATAGGCATACATAAGCTGAAAAATAGGAAAAGCAAACTAATGGGATAGTGATCCACGCGTGCATGCACTGATGCACTACATGATTTGCATCCCTACATCCACTACTAACAACTATTTAACACATGATTTAATTACTTGACTTTTTGTGTAAAAAAACAAAAAAATTAATTTGACTTATTCTTAACGCTATCCTAAAACAAAGGAAGCTAATCAACTACTAACTTGAAGCACTAACTTCAACAGATTGTGGATTAATGTTGAGGCATAAAGTTGCTATCTGTAATACAAATTCCACCTATTGTATGATCTCTTGACTTGTAGGATATGCAAGACGACGGTATAATACATCTCTGGATTCTATCTGGTATATATGCAGAAAGGCTCAAAATATGGACTTGTAGGTGTGCTTTAATTAAGACTTCGAGGGCAAGAACGCCAAAGCTAGCTATATACATCACATTTTTTAGTTACCACCATGGTAAAGGCCAGCTCTGTAATATATCTATTCCGGATGAGCTCCGACAACCCGAATCCAGGATCCGTGAAAACCCTGTCGATCAGCCAAGAACCTACATAATCAATGTACGTTAGCTAACCCCGGGGTTTGTCCGGGGATAACCACTCCGATGATAAAGTTAGTAATGAGTTCAAGGAGAAGATAAGAGAGAAGAAGAGAAGAATGATAAAGAGAGAAGAAAGAGTGAGAGAAAGAGAGAGTATATTTGTTACCTTGCAAATGAGCAAATTGGTGGCTATTGTGAGGTGGGTAGCCTGTTGTTGGGGATCCCATTTCCTCTATGCCCTTAGCCCTTTAAAAGCCTATGACTTTATATTTTTTAGGGTGTATTAGGATTTGAATTCCTGACTAACCTGTTTGAGAGACCTTGAATTAGAAATGAGCCAATCATTACTTTTTTTTTTATAAGAATCCAATAGAGAGTTGCCAATGAGTTTTAGAAAAACTCATAAACCTCGTTCACACCTTTCTCCCAAGTAAAGTTTAAGGGATAATTAACATGAATCATAAGTTTACCCATGCCCAAATTGGTCTACTAGTACCAGAACTGAGTTCGGGAGCGAGGGTACTAGGAAAACGTTCCTTTTTTAGGGGAATCGCAGTCCTAGCCCAAGTGCGGCCTCTACTAGCTCTTCCTTTTTCACAATTTCATTACCAAATAATATATGCAACGCGATACCTAAAAATAAGTTAGTTGATTTTATTTGTAAACATTACTTACAAAAAGTGTACATTGCAACGAATGTCGTTATTCTTTTTTAATTAAAATTTGTGAAAGGAACAAGAAATAAAACAAGATTCGCTTTGACTTAAGTGATAAAACAACAATTAATTATTCGATACTAGTCTTTAATTAACGAAAGAATACTATGTGAATAAAATTAATTAATATTATTTAATAATAAAAAAGAAAAGTGATTTATCTAAGTGCTAAAAAAACTAACCGTTCTCCTTTGTTTCCTAGATCTCCGTCTTAGATGTTTATGGACCTTCCTTCTTCTTTGTAACTCCAAGGACTTCAAAAGAATGGATTAGGGTTGAAGAGTAGTTGTGAAGAGAGGGGAAAATTAGTATGATAGTAAAAAGTTTGAAAGCTTAGGGTTTTCAGAATTCTAGGATTTTATTTCTGAATTTTCCTTTGGTTGTGATTAGGTCCAAACAAAGACCCCTATTTATAGACGTAGGAATCTAGGTTTAGGATTTTAGAGCCGCGGCATCAGAGGGCATGCGCAACTCTGAAAGTTGCACTGCAGTGCCGAGCGCAACTTTGAGACTTGCACAGTGTTGTTGCGCGCAATGTTGGAAGTTACGCGCGGCGCGGTTTGCCTTATTCGAAAATGCGTTTTTAAAACTTCTATAACTTTTTATTACGAAGTCGGATTCAGGCAAATGAGATATAATTGGAAAGCTTTGAATATCTATTTTCCAACGCCGTTAGAGTTAGGTTAAAATCTGTTGTGGATCAAAAGATATGGTCATTTGAGTGCAAGGGTGTCGGTTTCACTAGACGAAGAAGCTAATTTGGCACCGGTTCAAACCCCCCCTAAGGCACCGGTTTTGAACCGTTGGGGATTTGAGGGGTGCCAGATCCCCAAAAATTTGGCACCGGTTCAAATCTGGTGCCAACTAAAGCAATTGGCACCGGTTAACCGGTGCGAAATGTTAATGCGCGCTGTTTTTCTTTTTAATTTAAACTTCAATTGGCACCGGTTAACCGGTGCCAAATACGCCTTCAAACAGTAAAAAAAAATTATTTCAGCATAAAATTTATTCATCAATCCAATTTATACATTCAATCCAAAACTTAAAATCGAACAAGCTAAGGCTATATTCATCAAATAAATTGTTTTTTTTACAGTTTATTAAAAAAAAACAGAAAAATTGCTGAAAAATAAATTACAATCCAAAACCCAGAAACTTCGAACATCAACTCAGCAAATTCACGTCCTTCAAATCTGCATCAATTGAAACAATAAAATCAGATAAATTCAACAAAAATCGAAACAAAATCAAACAAAAATCGAACAAATAAACCCCAAAAAAATCGGAAATCAATAGAACAAATTAACCCAAAAAATCGAACAAAAATCGATAAAAAAAACCCCTTAAAAACGAACGATTAACCCAAATAAATTCAACAAAAAAAACCAAAAATAAATAGAAACAATAAACCCAAAAAAATCAAAAATAAATCGAACAAATAACCCCAAAAAATCGAACAACGCACTAAGATTCAACCCAGATAAATTCAACCAAAAAAACAAAATATAAATAGAACAAATAAACCCAAACAAATCAAAATACAATCGAACAATTAAACCCAAAAAATCGAACACAAATCGATCAATTAAACCCCATTAAAAGCGAACGATTAACCTAGATAAATTCAACCAAAAAACAAATAAATAGAACAAATAAACCCCAAAAAATCGAAAATAAATCGAAGAAAGAAACCCAAAAAAACGAACAAAAATCGATCACATAAACCCCTTAAAAACGAACGATTAACCCAGATAAATTCAACCAAAACAACAAAAAATAAATAGAACAAGTAAACCCCAAACAAATTGAAAAAAAATCGACACACGTTGTCCAAAAAATCGAACAAAAATCAATCAAATAAACCCCTTAAAAACGAACGATTTCGCACAAAAACACCCTCACAGATTCAACCCACAAAACCCATAAACCTAGAATCGTGAAAAATCCAGAAATCGTGAAAAACCGAGCCAAAATTGTGAAAAACCCAAAACCCAGAAACCCTAACCTCAAATTTGACGGCAGCGGCTTGGTTGTTGTGTTGGCTATTGTGTTTGGTTGGAGAGAGAAGAACAAAGATGAGATCAGAGATAAGGAATTGAAGGAGAGAGGCATGCATGCATTCAGAGATAAGGAATTTCAGAGAGCTAAGAGAGAGAGAATGAAAAATAAATTGAAGAAGAAATGAAGGAGTTAAAACCCAGAAACTCGACATATATAGCTTTGTTTTAAATTCGTTTTATTTATTTATTTATTTTTTAAAATAATCAGTTGGCACCGGTTAACCGGTGCGAACTCTATTCTTTTTTTATTTTTTTAAAAAAAAAAAAAACATTTGGCACCGGTTTGAACCGGTGCTAATTAGCGTAATTGGCACCGGTTCAAGTAAGAACCGGTGCTAATTAGCGTAATTGGCACCGGTTCAAGTAAGAACCGGTGCCAACTCTGAAATTTTAACTCGCGCTCGTTTTAGTTGGCACCGGTTTTCATGAACCGGTGCTATAGGGGGGGTGCCTATTTAGTTTTTTCTACTAGTGTTTTCGGGCCTTGTTTAGTATTTTGATGATATCTTCTTCGTTTCAAATTAGAATTAATCTTATAATATACCGTTGGAAAGCTCTTTGAAAGGGCTATCCAACTGTTTAGACCATGAATGGATATTAAGTGATTAAATTTTCTGATTGGCTCGGTTTTCAACAATGTAAGATCCATTTGATCCAATCATTGCATTTGACGCATTTAGGTCCGTTATTAATCAAGATTAAACATGTATGAGCATGTTTTAGGCCTAATTAGTAATTGGACAAGGATCTAAGATGATTTGGTCTCAAATAAAGGTTTTAGCTTACTTCATAATGCATTTCGGAGTCCATAAACACTTCAACTTTGATCTAGCATGAAGAACAGGTTTTTGTAACATCATCGCACTTCATGTCGGGACAGGAGTCCAAAAGTAGGTGTCTACAGTTAGCCACCACTTTGATCGAGCCTAGAATAGACGAAGATCAAAATAGTCAAGGAAATAAATTCGAGACTCATTCTGCGAATTTTTTTAAAGAAAAAGAATCATTTAGTAGTGTTGAGAATGTCGAAACTATCCTCAGTTCGCTAAATTTCAAGACAAGTAGCTACTAAGATCAAAGTTTTTTGAACTTAGTGCGCTAAAGAGTCTAGGTTGACCCTTCGCAAGTATAGAATGCTTTTACATGTAAAGGCTGTCCTGGGTGATGCCATGTCATGTCACGAAAAGGTATCGGGTTTCACTACAAGAAAAAGGGGATTTAGCGACTAACCAAAGTAGTTGCAAATCCGTCGCAAAAATGGATTTGCGACGGATTTGCAACTACTTTGGTTAGTCGCTAAAGACCTCGTCGCAAATCCACGCAAATCCATTTTTTGTGACTACTTTTTGAATAGTCGCAACTTTAGCGACAGATTTGCAACGGCTTTGCAACTACCATTTAGCGACTAAATTTAAAATTTTAGCAACTAAATCATTGTCCGTCGTAAAATATTTGTGACGGATTAGCAACTACGGAGACCAATGTTTTAAGACTACGAATACCAATATTTTACGATGGATTAGCGACTACAAGACCAAACTTTTGCGACTATAGAGACTAATTATTTTGTGACCAATTAGCGACTATTGAGACCAATTATTTTGCAACTAACCAATTAGTCTCTAAAACAAATCTAGTCACTAAATTTTTGCGACTAACAACGACCAATATCAATAAAAAAAAAAAGGTACCCATGCATAAATTCAAATAACTAAAATGTTAATTTCATTCAAATATCCCAAATATCATCAATATTGTATCAATATAATAAAAAACAATATTCTATACCATATGACTGATTGTTTCAAAAATCACCTCCCACATTAAGGAAGCTACTTCCAATAAGAACTAATGAAGATAATACAAATATGCCTCCAAAAACTATAGTTGTTCATAAACTTACAACCAAGAAAATAAAAATCACTTGGTAGCATCACGAGAACGAGTTGTATTATTTTTGTGGGTTTTTCTTTCTGGTCCATACTTGCTCTAGGCATCTCTTTGATCAGCACATGATATTGATTTATTATCTCGACATACGTGCTGCTCCTCCGTGGATGATCTAATCGTTCAGAACTCAATCTAGATCCGCTTCTTAATTGTGGTGATTTCTTAACAGATAAACTTTTTAAGATGTTTTTATGTACTTTGGATAAAGCTCCAAGTCACAATGATTTCCACCTTTAACCCATAAAGGCTCATACTTTTCTTTATAATTCTCCCACAGTTGCTTACCATGAGACCAATCAACCACATCATCAGATGTCCCCTGCAGCACCAACAAATGTAAGTATATCATCATCTTCTCATACAAGTATAAATGAGTTGGCAGGTTAGCACATGGTTGTCTATTTTTGAAATATAATTGAACAATCAGATAGATGTGAGTACCTGATCAAATTTAGATAGATGATTACATTCATGTTCATATGTGATAAATTTTCGCTCAATGAGGTGGATGTGCAACTAGGATGAAATACTACACCAAGAGTCTAGTAAAATCTTGACAGTAAAAGGATGCTTCACATTCATCAGTCAATAAATATAGGATATGACTAGATTTGGGGATAGCAAAAGATCATAGTGTTATACCATACACCCTTGTACTCCCAGCGTCACTCAATAAATCTAAACTACCTCCCTAATTAAAATCAATAGCATGGTCAAGTAAGAAAGAAAATCACCATGGAATTTGATACCTGAACTGCAGTTTTGTAAAGTGTGCGCCTTACTCTCAGCATCTACTCCCTTTCCCAACCCCAACCCACACAAAAAGAAAAGAATAAAAAGGTTTAACAGAATTTCTTGACACTCTAAAATAACAAGCCGTAACATAATGTATTTTCACTAAATAGTTTAGATTTTGATTATTCAAGGTTCCTTCTTGCACTCAATCAAAAATTAGAACTTTAGAAGAAAGTTATGTTGGGGATCAAAGAGGGCAGAGAAGAGCCAAAAGGTAAGTCTAAATAGCCACCTTTGCAATATGTCTACACTTAGGAGGAATCTTGACTTGCACTAGTGTAAGAACAACAGTTGACCATTCCATACTGCATCAACATTCTAATGTAAAGGTACCCTTATATTATTACAATTCGATTTATAAAGGCACAAAGCACAATTCAAGCAAACAATTCAATGCAGCCTATGCAGGAACCTCATGTAGTATGACATCAAAATTTCAAACTGTTGATGAGTCAGAAGATACTTACATGAATTACTAAAAGAGGGCAACAGACCAACGGTATTTTGTCAATATTCTGCATTACAAAGAAATAAAGTTAGAAAGCTTGCACATGTGTATCAAAGCTGCTTGTCAGTCAACAAACACATTAACCCACCTTATATATGTCAAATCAATATGATCTCTTTACTAGATACATAACCCAAAAGCCAGACATAATTGGACTATGAAGCACAACAGCTCTTAATTTTGGTAATCTCCATTCCAAATCACAACTCATCTCTTCTCTTAATCTCTTATATTCTCTTAATCTCTTATATTCTCTAATTATTATTTATTAATATCGACAAAATTAAAAGTTCGTAATCGTAATTAGTGTAAAGCGTCGAAGCACAATTGTAAGATCTAACTAATCTTTATTATTGTTGTTATTATTATTGTTATTACTTATTATTATTGTTATAATTATTGTTATTAATTATTATTATTGTTATTGTTATAATTGTTGTTATTAATTATTATTATAGTTATTATTAAAATTGTTAATTTGTTAATTATGGCATCACCAAACATGAACAACCCATCATCCTCTAGGAAAGCCCAATTTGTCTGTGGTAATATTTCTAGGGAATCACCTAATTCAATGGACCCCCTAATTCCGAGTCCGACCAATGACCCCGGAACCGCTCCCCTAGGTTTTGAGCAAATTAGGCATGGTGGTACTTCCGATTTTCAACCCTATAACATGAATATGCCCGGATTTTCACAAACCCAATTTCCACAAAACCAATTTCCACCACAAAACCAATTTCCACAATTTGGTCAATTTTCACCTAATTTCTTTGACCCACAAATTTTTTATACTAGCCAAGGTAACGAAGAAAATAGCCCATTTGCCTCCGACTCCGAGTCTACTACTCAACAACAAACCCCCGAATCAACAAACACCCAAATTCTAAACACACAAGAGCAATGGTTAACCGAACAAGATATGGTAAATATAAAAAGCCGCAAAAGTGATGTATGGAGATATTTTTTACTAAATAAAGAACAAACAAGAGCAAAATGTAAAACATGTGCTAAAATATTCTCGGCCACATCTAAGGCCGGGACGGAACACTTAAGTAGACACATTAAAACATGTGCACAACCATCTAGTGATCCAACCCAGCCAAAAATTTCCCAATTCCATCCACACGGCTTTACCTACAACTATGAGAGGGATAGGGATGAACTAGGAAAAATGATAGTACATGCCGAACAACCTTTTCTTTTCTCCGAAAGTGACCCATTTAACACTTACATTAATAAAGCATTACAACCCCAACATAAAAGAATCTCTAGGAAAACCGTTTGTTCCGCCGCCATGAAAAACTTCCTAGAGTACAAAATGTAGTTACAAGACGAATTGAGTAAACTTAATTGTAGAGTGTCTTTGACTGTCGATTCTTGGGATAGTGGTTATAAATATCACTATTTATGTGTGACTTGCCATTGGGTAGATGATCAATGGTTGTTACAAAAACGAATAATCCATTTCAAAATGCTAGAATACCCCCACACCGGTACTAACATTGCTCACCATTTAATGGAAGCTATAAATGAATACAACCTTAGAGAAAAAATCATGTCTATGACATTTGACAATGCAACCTCAATGACATATACTTCTAATTTAGTGAAACAAAATTTAACCGATGTAATATTAGATGGTGACGCACTTCATACTAGATGTGTTTGCCATGTTTTTAACTTATGTGTACAAGATGGAATTAAAGCAATTGGTTCATACTATAACAAAATTAGAGAAGCTATTATGTCTGTTAATAGCTCTAACATGAGATATCAAGAATGGAAAGGTTTTCTAAAACAACAAAATATAAGACCAATAAAAATCAAAATCGATTGTCCAACTAGGTGGAAC